GGTGCCCTGCGTGGTTTCTGCTCACACGGCCTCACTTGAGCCACGGCCCCCTCTGGCGGCACCCGGCTGGAGCACCATCACTTAAGGTGCCACCTGGAGCCTCCTGGGTCCTCCTGCGGTGTCCGGTGCGTGGCAGGGTCACCATTACCCCGCTCCTGGTGCTCCTCGCCGTGCCGGGCACCAGTACCTCCGTCCCCAGCACAGATGGCTGATGCATATGTACCGATCCAGGCAGCCACCTGGCAGGTGTGGACAGGGCCAGGGAAGCAGTGTGGCGGCATTTGACAGCCTGGAGCTGAGAATCTGGAGGCCAGGATCTGAAATCCAGCTTTGCTGCTGGCAGAGATGCTTTGGATGGCTCACCTTGAGTCTCGGGGCCTCAGCTTCCTCTGTGAGCACTCAAGGGCAGGCCTAGATGCGTCTTGGGGCCTGGAGGGTCTAAATTTCTCTGGCAGCAGCCGTAAGGCAGACTCTCATACCCAGCTGCCTGCAGACCCCCTCCAGCATCCTGAGGCCAGAGGAGCTTTCTCCCCACGGGCGTTTTTCGTGGGTGCACAGACACCCACACATCCTCAGGTGCCCTGGGGTCCCATCTCAGCGGTGACCCACACAGCTTTTTAAACATGCCTCTGACGTTAGGGATTTCTCGTACCAGTAGAAATAGATTTTACTTCTCTCCCGAGTTTTTGTTTGCTTCCTCCAGGGTCAGATTTGAGGATACGGATAGCATATATCTTGGAGACTTCTAGCCCCAAGGCGAGGAGAGAAGTCGGGGTGTTGGGAGGCCTGGGATCCATCCCCAGCACTGCCGTTAAAGCTCTTCCCCTCAGGGACGATGGTCTGGACCGGGAGGATCGCCAAGGGTCTGCCCAAGTGCCAGCGTCTTATCCCAGGGGCAGCTTGGACCAAACTGGGTTTGGTAGCTGTTCTCAACACTTATCAGTTTTGCCAAGAACAGGGAACAGTAGATTTTTTTTCTATTTATATTGCCTTGCTCATTAGCATGTACAATGCAAAGGCCAGAGTTGCTGAAGCAAAATCAACAAGTTCTGATTCATTTGCAGAGCTCAACCCCGGGATCGCTCTGAAATTTCTAACCCGTAGGGCTCCCTGGCTGAGTCACATTGTGGAAGGTTCCTTAATTGGAAACAGCCTCAGACAGTAGCATGGACAGCAACACAGAGAGGGGCTATCAGAGCACAAACAGCCGGAAAGGAAGTGCCGACAAGAAAGGCAGTTGGGGCACTGTTGATGGCCGAGTCGACAGCATCTGTCCGGAGACACTGGACAGGCAGGGGGGTGGGCTTCCCCGACGGGCAGGGCTTCGGCGGGGCGGGGGGGGGGGGGGGGGGGGGGGGGGTCAGAAAAGTGGGAGGCCAGATTTGGGAAACCACAAACTTGCCTTTGAACATCTGTCGTTGTTTTAACAAGCGTTATCCTTTCTAGGTTGCCCACCTCTTGGTCTGGAAACCTTAAAAATCACAGACTTCCAGCTTCACGCATCCACTTCGAAGCGCTACGGGCTGGGGGCGCATCGAGGGAGACTCAACATCCAGGTACCAGCGGGGCCGGAAGGACCCTGCTCGCATGGCTCGCTGCTCTGGCGATAGACACAGCAGTGGTTCGTTGACCGTGGGTCGATACCATGCATGGCATTTATAAATGCATGAGCTTCGGGGCACCTGGGTGGCTCAGTCGGTTAAGCATCTGACTCTTGGTTTTGGCTCAGGTTATGATCTCACTGTTCGTGAGATCGAGCCCCAAGTTGGGCTCTGCACTGATAGCCTGGAGCCTGCTTGGGACTCTCTCTGGCTCTCTCTGGCTCTCTCTCAAACTAAATAAATAAATAAAAACTTAAAAAAAATGCGTTAGCTCCACTTCTCCCACGAGGAGGGGGTTGCCTTCAATCCTCTGTCTCACGGAGAGGGTCCCGAGACTCTCCGGGTTCGTGTCTTCTACAAAGAGCACTTAGTACGAAGGGTGCTGCTGGTGCCTGGACCCAGGTCGGCGCCCCCTGCACCTCTTGAGCTCTTCCCCTCTGTCTGGACCAGGCAGGAGGAGGGCGCTGAACTCCGGAGGACGCGGGCAGCCAGTGACATTTGTCCTCTTTCCCCTGCCATTCTTACCACCACCCACACCTCTTCCAGGCTTTTCTGCGGCTCCCCCCAGGTCAGACCCTGAGTGGTTCACCTGGGCCCCAGCACATCGTGTCTGGCCTCCTTCTCTGAGGCTCACGGGTCATGTGACCTTGTCGCTCATTACTGTCAAGGTCCTACTCCAGGAAGGAGTAAAAATCCACTCCTGCACGTGGGTTTTATACCCCGCGCGGTTCTTGGCTTCTTGCCTTTTCTCAGGCAGGTTCCCCTGCCCGCGAGCCCTTGCCCTCCCCACCCTGCCGGTCAGTGTACATCCTGTGGCATCCGTGGTGTTCATTTCCTTGTGCTGCCCTCACAGCTTCTCATAAATGCAGCCACTTAGGCCACGCGAACGTCTTCTCTTCCGGTTCTGGAAGACAGAAGCCCCATCGGGCTAAGGCAAGGTGTGGGCAGGGCCGCGTTCCTGCTGGAGCTGGAGGGGAGAGCCCAGTTCTTCTCCTTTTCCAGCTTCTAGAGGTGCCTACATTCCCTGCGTGTGGTCCTCTCCTTCTAAGCCTCTGGGCCCTTCTTCTGCTTCCCTCTTCCACTTTTAAGGAGGCTTGTAGGGACATCGGACCCTCCTGGATGACCCAGGATCATCTCCCTAACTCAAGCAACCTTAATTGTACCTGCAGACTTCATTCCCTTTTACTCTCTGGCCTCGACTGTTCCCGGGCTCCAGATGACGTTGGCATCTCTGTTGGGGAGGGGGCGTTATTCCACCAGCCCATCCCAAAGCCTTTTTCCTCCAGCTCCTGCTGTTCTGTCCCTACCCAGCTCAGCATTTGGTCGTGCGCTGTCCTGTGTGGGTCTCTGGTATTCTAGTTGTCTTTACCCCAGCTGCTCCATCAATGTGTGTGTTTTCTAAACCCTTTCTGTGCACGCATCATCTCATCTAGCCTCCTGGGAGGGGGGTGGTTCTCTCTCCACCCCACCCTCCCCCCCGCCGAGATGTGGGGCCATCAAGGGTAACGGCTGCTGAGTACCAGCGTCAACATCTGCTCGCGTGGGCCACCGTGAACATATTGCGGGCAGCTGCTGTGCTGGGAACTGGACAAGAGCGGACGAGGTCCCTCCCAGGGGCACCCGGGCTCTGGGGTGTCTGAGCAGAGCTCCGACTCTGAGCGTCTGCCCCTCCCTCCTCCTTCAACACTGCCACACCACACAGACTTTCAGACCACTCAACCTCAACTGGCACCACTTGGCAGTCCCAGAATTCCAGTAGAACATTTCCAGACCTGACTTTAATGAAAACCAAAGGTTGGTTTATAAGTGTGTTTTTTTTTAAATGTGTATTAATTTTTGAGAAAGAGAGAGATTGTGAGTGGGGAGAGGCAGAGAGCGAGGGAGACAGAGAATCCCAAGCAGGCTCTGAGTTGTCAGTGTGGGACAGTGGAACTTGAACTCAGGAACTGCGAGATCATGACCAGAGCCGAAATCGAGAGCTGGACGCTTACCGGACTGAGCCACCCAGGCGCCCAGGATTATTGTTTTTAAATAACAGCTGATAAGAAACATTTGGATGTGCACAATTGAGACACTGTGTTTTCCAAGAGGGTGATTTCTACAAGTTTCACAAGAGTGACCATGAATAATGTGAGTGCCTGCAGCACCTTGAACGGGCTCCAGGCTTCCTCAGAAATAAGGTCAGGGCGAGCAGGGCCAGATTCAAATGGGTGTGCGGCTGTTTCGTTCATCATTAGAGGAGTGGTCACCTAATGCCCGAATGCTCTCTCTGTAAATGAAGTTACCCTTTTTTAAAGAGGAAGTGTTGCTATTTATACAGGCTTTCAGACAAACACTGAACGGGTCCATTAGTCCTGAGTTTATTGGTGGGAGTAGGGGCTGTGAGTAGTGTTGTTCTAGTTGGGGATTCTACGACCACAGTGGGCAGGTGGAATGTGGGGGGTCATAGTGCAGGGGTCCTAGGCGTGCAGAGTTCAGACCTTGGCCTTGACACTTCTAGATTTGGGGACCCTCAGAACCATTATCTCATGGCTCCGAGCCTCAGTTGCCTCAGCAGAGAAGAGGGAGTCATGGGATTTGTTGAGCAATGAAATCAGGTGATTTATAATTTTAAAATTTGCTGGATCATTTCACTTCTCTGCTTGCAGCTTCTAGTAGCTTCCAGGTGCTCCTGGAAACTCCTAGCTGGCCCTGTGTGACTGGCCCCTCTTAATCCTGTGTGGTGCTGCCCCTCCCTGAATGTTGGTGGCTCGTTTTGGGGTGATACCTGACCCTCCTTGAGTAGGAGCCCCAGGTTAGAAGGGGCTTGGTCTCTTGTCCTCTCCCTTCCCCCCAGCCCAGAACATCGCCCGGCACACAGGACGTATACAGAGGGTGTCAGATGAAGGCCTGGCTGAAGGGGAGATGGTGGGCGTTCGCCGCCCTGCCTTTGCTGGGCCCCACGGCAGGTCCCCCGGGGGGACGCTCATCCGGCAGGGAGCAGCTGGCTGGGCTGTCCTGTGTCCTCGTCATCTTTCCTGGCTACCTCATCCTTCATCCAGGGAGAAGGCAGGTTTCCTGGGCTGGAAGTGTGGATAGACCCACCCTCCTGACTTCAGTCAACATGAAGTAGGACAGTCGCTGAAAACCACCATAATCAGTGCTGTTTATCCTGGGGGGAGGTATTGTTTTCTTCAATGGTCTGTCATTTCCCCAAATGTCCTCCGACTAGAACATCTCTGCACCTGCTCTTAGGATGTGAAGTTGCTGCTTTAACAGGGAGGCCCAGGCCAGCCGCCCCCGAGCCTGCCGGAGCCCCCACCCCCGTGGGTTATGTGGTGTTAAACACGGAAGGCGGAGCGTTGCCTACGGCACGTGTGAGGGCCTTCGACACAACCCTCCGTGGGCAAACGATGACTCGGTGGGAGCCCCTTTCGGGGTTCTTAACCTTCCAGAATCAGTGTCCCACGAAGCCTGATGTCATCGCCACAGGTGCTCTAAAATGCGTCCTCCCACATGGACGGTGTGAAATGCAGTTTAAAAATTCCTGGGGTGCCTGGGTGGCGCAGTCGGTTAAGCGTCCGACTTCAGCCAGGTCATGATCTCGCGGTCCGTGAGTTCGAGCCCCGTGTCGGGCTCTGGGCTGATGGCTCAGAGCCTGGAGCCTGTTTCCGATTCTGTGTCTCCCTCTCTCTCTCTGCCCCTCCCCCATTCATGCTCTGTCTCTCTCTGTCCCAAAAATAAAAAATAAACGTTGAAAAAAAAAAAATTAAAAAAAAAAAATTCCGCCTTGTCTCACTTAGGAGTTTTTTGCAGATACGCCAAGCTGATGGGATTTTTGTGCAAGAAACACCAAGGTGTCAGGGGTCCGAAGTGTTTCAACGCCGTCGTCCAGCATTTGGACGGGGTTGCCCAGCCCTTTGCCGGCCCAGCCTCCGCAGGCGTGGGTGGGGTCCCCCCAGAGCGCACGGGGCTGGCTGGCTGGCCAGGCATCCCGGTGCACCTGCCGACGGGCCGAGTGGCTCCAGGCCACACGCTGCCTCGTCCAAGGCTTGGTGTCGTCATCAGCGGATGGAGCCCGGCCACCGGCACTGCCACCTCGTCAGAATGTGAGGATCGGACAAAATGAAGACAGAGAATCGTCCTCGGCAGTTTTCAGATGCCGTATCCGCGCCCGTCGGAATTCGCTCGCTCCGGTGACCCTGTGGAGTGCCAGGAACTGTGTGCTGTAGCCTGAGCGGGCAGAGATGCCCATGTCCCGCCTATCCCCAAATGCAGAGGGAGAGTGGAATCGGCTTCGGCAGGTGTTGGCACCGTGCCGAGCGCTTTGTGCCCGGTATTTCCTTTCGCCCTCGGCAGGAGACAAGTACTATTTTTATTATTATTACCTCCGCCTTATAGAAGACAGGCGCATGCATCATGAGAGTCACTCGGTTAAGCGTCCCTGGGAGAGGCGGTGTGTGAATCGAAGCTGCTGTAAACCTGGAGTCATTGCCCGGAACGGCTCCACAGAACTGCCCCCAAGTCAGCAGGTGGCAGTGTTCTAGGTGCGTCTGGGATGATGGTGAGACCGAGCACCCCTCTCCTTTCTGACTGTTATCTCACGCTGATTTAGTCGTCTGTCACCCTCACCCAACGATTTGCCGATGATGGGAGTCTTGCTTTCCTGGGTATTCGTTCCCCCGCGGTGTCAGCAGCGTCCGCGCATCCCTGTGTGCTCCACAGATGTTTCTGGATGGTCGCCACGATGCGGGAGGGTACCGTGGCTGCCATGAAGAAGTCCTGGAGGGGGCGGTGCTGGCCGGTCTGCTGCTGTTTTGCTATCGGAGACTCGCTCCTAGCGACGGCTCATGACCTGAGCCGAAGTTGGACGCTCAACCGACTGAGCCACCCAGGCGCCCCAATGTAGGTTTTGAATAGTCTGGCTAGGACTCTATTTTTCCTGTGACCTCAGTTTCCAGAGTGCAGATTTTGCA